CAGAAAAAGAAATTCCTGGTACATAATTTTACCAAGAGTATAATACTTTACTGAAAAACTACATTGGCACAGAAGAAGCAAAACCAGTTCTGAATTTCCCTCGCACAAAGGCAAACATAGTTATTTCCCCCTTTCCCTCGGAGCCACCCACAGTCCATTACATTCACCAATCACTTCTGTTCATTTTGTTATGAGAAAACAGCAGGCCACGTTGTGTCTTTGAAAACTTCCATAGATGCCTTGGTTGTCTAGATACCATTCCCCCACCTTTGCATTTCATTCTACCACCCCTCCCTTTTGTGTCAAGCTGTGAGTGAAGGAGAAAATATAGGTGAAAGGGCAAATCAGTCTTGGCACCATGATGATGTGGTTCACACCACACACTTAAGACACAGTGTAGTATGAGCTTAGGCTTAGTTATTCTGATTTGTAAACCATGTCTTAATATACTGTTTGAATGCTTTATTTCCCTTCATAAAAGTTTTTCTTTCTTTTGGATATAATTTTTGATATACCTATATCAAAGTTGACTTTTTTAGTTGACTTTCTTCTCAGAAACAAATTATTTTGTAAAAATATATTGCATGTTAAATTATATTCATCAAAACATACCTTGCAATATTGAAATGGGTCACTATGAGAATCACAAGAAATTATTCTATTGCTACAAATGTATCTTTGTATCCCAAAGTAAGGTGTGCATACTCACCAGTTAATCAAAGGATGTGTTCAAGTAATCTTTTGGCTGAAACAAGTTTGTTCATTTTGGATTTTACTTGCATGTCTTTCTAGGTTGGTTTAGATTATCAAAACCCTTTTTTAAGCCCGTTTAAAGAATTTCAGAGATGGAAGCATCATCCTAGTGTTCAACCTACCTTTGAAGGAGGAAAGAGGATTGCTTATGGTGCCCGAGCTCTTAATGAAGGAGGTTATCAGGTAATAGTGATATAAGGTTACTTTCTTGGATTTGGGTGGGATGGGAAAACAAACTTGGTACTAATTGATCAAGATTTTAATTGCTTAAATTGACATATAGAAACCATTGTTTCAGTTCCAAAAATGTTTATTATTATAAATGGATTGTTGCAACAGTCCAATTAATGGATTTTTTTTCATATTTAGTCCATACCCAAACTTTCCTTTCCTGGTGGTATTCTTATTGGATGTAGCCCAGGTTTCATGAATGTTCCCAAGATTAAAGGTACACACACTGCTATGAAAAGTGGAATGCTGGCTTCAGAAGCCATTTTCAATCAACTAATCAACGAAAATCTCCAATCAAAAACAATAGGTAAGAGGGGCATGATTAAAACATATGTACTTTTGGCAATTCAGGAAAGTCTCTACTTATCACTAGTTTATTGCTTTAATCAATGTCATACTGCAGATGAATAGAATTTAGGTGGAGTGCTTAAAAGCAGATAAATTCAGATAATGTGAAAAAGTAAGCACACCACATGTAAGTTTTTTTCTTTTAAACATATGTGGGCATATCATTATTTTCAAGGCCCTGGGCTTTTGGATGCGGTTGCTAAATGTTAGTCAGTAATAAAGTCATGATCACCTGTGATTTGATTGTGGATGAGGACTGATCTAGCATGTATCACTGAACCCTGCCTGGAGCCAGAGGGGAAGATGTGTCTATCTAAGTCTCATGTGTGGCATCAACCAAAATGAGAGGGTAGCAGTGGTGGTGATGATAGCAGTTGTTATCCAAAATGTTTGGGAGGATTCCAGGGGCAGTGCCCCACAGACTGCTAGGTGCGAAATCCTATTTGTTAAATTGCACTCTAGGATTCATTTGGGATTGTTGTAGTGTACTAGCCTCTGTGCTGTGTAGCAATCACCCTGCCTAAGCTCCTTGACTCCATTAGCAGGCTGGCAGTGGAGTTCCCGAGAATTACAGACCTGGGGTACTTCAATCTGTCTTTTCTGGGTGCAGAAACAGAGGTAGCTCGGGAGTTCGTTGCATCATGATAATCATGAGCATGTTCCAGGTTATATTAGCATTATCCTACTCTTTTTCCAATGTCCACTGTACTTTAAATTTACATTTTCCCAGAGTAAAAATAGTTTTAATATGAAAAAATTGCAAAGCCTTTTAGTAATTATTTGTTTATTCTTAGGCCTTCATGTGCCTGAATATGAAGAAAATCTGAAAAAATCATGGGTGTGGAAAGAGCTTTATGGAGTTAGGAATATTCGCCCCTCCTGTCATGGAATCTTGGGTGTATATGGAGGAATGATTTACACTGGTGTTTTCTATTGGATACTAAGAGGATTCGAACCTTGGACCCTAAAGCATGGAGGTAAATTTCTAAAACTTTTATTTTTGACATACAAGTTGATAACTTCTTTCAGAATAAGTTTAAAAAAATGAATTAGGCTCATAAGTATTTGGTTTGACCATCACGTTCCATATAGTCTGATTTTGTAAGCCACTTATAATTCATAAACAGGGCATAAAGTATTAGAAGCATGGTGCCTGTATGGGTATTACTTCTAGTGCAGTGACTGGCAATCACTGATAAATCTCCCTTTTATGAACTTTGCCTAGCTGTATCTAGAAAAACATTCATGCTTATAATAACCATACGTGATGAAAAACTGTTAATTATTTGCATAAATATTAAATGAATATTTTAATTTGGCAGATGTTTTAATTACTATTTAGCGTGATATACAAAGGCAGCCAATGCTAAACATAATAATTTAAAAATCTGCATAGAAAGTCTGATAGAATCGATTCCAAGTTTTCTTTTCCTATGTGATTGTACATGAGAGGATAGAGAATATAAACATTTGTCCATGATTACTATAACCAAGCTGTCTCGACTTTTTAAATGTACTATGAAAAAAGATGCTAGAAGGCAGAAAGCTACCAGCCTTGCAAAGATGGCCAGCCTGTTATCAAAATGACTGTTTTGGGTATAACTAGGGTAGCCTGTTTCTACAGTTGTGTGCCATATAAATGTTCCAAATGAGTATGACATTTGCTCCATAAAAGGAAAAATATATCTAAATCGTTTATTTATTTATTTATTTATTATGCAATTGCCCCAACTTCTCTTAGAAAGTTTCCCCCCCAATTTTTCATTACTTATTATTATGTGTGTCTTACTGTAATGGTAACGGGAAAGACCTTGGCAGCAAAGAGATACTGCCTAAGAACAGCTGCTGGATAGTGGGTGGGGCAAAAGACTAAGAACAGACCCTCCCTTGTTTCTCTGGCTATAAAAGAGATGGTAGAACAGTAGCTTCAGATGTTTAAGATTCTGCTTATGTAGCTTTACAATAAATAGAAATAGCTTGGCTGGTCATGTTTCCAGTCTGATCTACCTAGTAAAGCTGACAACAATCTTGCAAGTTAATTAGAATCTTAATACAGAAAACTGAGCCACATTTGTGGTAATTAAAAAGATACTGTTTATGCATTTGATTTTTTTAGCCCAATGCAATTGAAAGGTATTTTCCCCTAATGCAATATATATTAGTATTATGCAATACAAAAATAGTTGTTAAAATTATTCTTTATAGCAGTGCAGAATATCTCAAGCAGTGTGTTCAAAGACAACAAAGCCATTTAAAATGGCATTTCTTTCCGCTCACTAAATGTTTTTATACTGTCACCAATGTGTACTAAATTTTTTATCAAATTTTTCCTTGTGTTATTTCAGGAACAGATGCAAAACAGCTAAAGCCAGCCAAAGATTGTACACCTATTGAATATCCAAAACCTGATGGAAAAGTCAGTTTTGATTTGCTTTCATCAGTAGCTTTGAGTGGTACAAATCATGAACATGACCAGCCTCCTCATTTAACTCTGAGAGATGATAGTATTCCTGTCAACTATAACCTAGCTATATATGATGGACCTGAGCAGCGATTCTGCCCAGCAGGTAACTACCAATTTTGGGAGAAGCAAAGGATTTAAACAGACAACTTCACTCTGCTTTCAAATTGTTTTAACAAATTATGTGATTCCCCCCCCCCTCATTAATAAGAGGTTTTCTGATTGAGTTCTGTTGTCTCTTGAACTAAAATTACTTTTCTATTTTTCAGGAGTTTATGAATATGTTCCCGTGGAAAGTGGAGAAGGATTACGATTACAGATAAATGCTCAGAACTGTGTCCACTGTAAAACATGTGATATTAAAGATCCCAGCCAGAATATTAACTGGGTTGTACCTGAAGGTGGAGGAGGACCAGCTTATAATGGAATGTAGTTTTAATCCATTTTTTAAAGTATGTGGGCAATGCTATAAAACAATACAACTTGGGATTTACTATTGTAAAAGTTATGTGGTCTAAGGAGCCCATTCTCTATGAAGGCTAGAGTAATCTACAGGCCACATGTCCTCAGATCACACTACAGTACTAAAGCTCAGCAGCAAAATGGATCTTGGAAGCATGATCTTTAATGTTTACTCAAATATAAAAACGGATGTGTTCTATTTTGACCTTTTCTATAAATTAAAACCCTACCCCTCCCCCCAACTCAAAACCCGATGCCAAAAAATCAACCCTTTAACCTGTGCCTGTGGTGTTTATCATCAGTGGACACATCTTAGAGGTCAAAGTGTTTTAAAGTGTTACACTGTAACCAGGCTGACCAGAACTGGACACATCGGTTTTGAAGTTAATGTTCTGCAGCCTGAATGTGATGGTGCCTTAATTAGTAAATAGACAAGCTTTATTTGCATGTATTTTTTTCTATTCAGAAAATACCCGGTAAGATGAGTTTGAATATATCCTGATCTAATTTTATCCTGATTGTTCTATATTGTCATACTAATAATGGATGTAATCCAGAATACAGGATATTTGTAATATCTGTAACTATTGTATCTATCTCTTGATGGCCCAGTTTCAGGGAAATAGATCTTTCAAGACTAATCTGAAGAATATTTCAGTTATTTTACAAAAAAATGAATAGAGCAACACTACCTCTGGTATAAATTCATTTTGGTATAATAAAATGTAATAAAGTATTCTCTACCTGAGTTAGAAATTTCGTTTATTTCTTCAACTTCTGTAACAAATTACACTTTGCAATCATAATGAAAGTTACTAGAAGAATTGAAGGATTACAAACAATCTGCAACATGTAAAATGGTAGTATGTCACTGTACTTGTACAAGCTCTTTGCAGCATCATTGATATTTTGTAGTTTTTTATATATTAAGCTAAAATACAACAAGTGTTTTTATGCTGAGCTTTACCAAGTGTTTGAAAGTATTACTTTTAAATCCAAAATGTAAATATATGAAACACACCATAGATGTAAGTGTGCTGCCACAATGACTCACATTAATCCTGCCATTATATGTATAAACAGAGAGAAAAACTGTATTCATGCAAACATCTTTGCATATGCTGCCCTCTCTTTTTCCTTATCATTTTTTATCTTCTGCTTGACTTTCTGTACTTCCATTCGGATGGCTGCGGATGTAAAAAAAAAAATAAGATCACACATTTAATGTCACTTTGAATGTGTATATGCAACATGTTTTTTTTATAAGTAATATGCTAAGAATGCAAATATTCAAAAAAACCATGTTATCTCAGCCTTTGTCTAAGGAAAATATCTATAAATTGTGTTTTAAACAAAAGATTCCCACACTATGCTATTTCAAAACCATATAAGATGCATTACAATTTAGCATGATGTGTGAATGCACTCACTATTTATAAACAGTTCAAAATGCCACAGAATAGGAGCAGAGAATAGCAAATATAGCCCGGGATAGTCTAGCATGTGCATTCCATATCTTTCCCTGACCTCCTACACCAGTATCGTGATGCTGGCTTAAGTGTATCATAGATATTTTTAGTCATCAATAGCAATAGGCCAATTCATCACTGAAGATAATCTGGTAGCGTTACCTTTATCCTGAGGGGCTATGTCTTGAGCCTTCTGAAGCTCAACCTGTAAAGTTAAATAGACAATTGAGCAATATGTAAATGAGAAAACCAATTTGGTATAGTGATTAAAGTGTTGGCCTAGAAATCAGAAGACTGAATTTTAATCCCACTTTAGGCATGAAAGGTGACTGTGCCAGTCATTTTCTCTCAGCTCAACCCACTTCACAGGGTTGTTGTGGGGAAAATAGGAAGAGAAAAAAGTATCAGGTATGTTTTCTACTTTGAGTTACTTATAAAGTAACTCAAGCTATAGTAATAAAGTGATAAAGATATTTTACAAATATGTTTATTGCAATATTAGTGATGAAAATGTTTCTGCTTACCAATGCCTTATCATAATCTTTCGTTCCTTCCCAAGCTTGGGCCTTTCTATAAAATGCTTTAGTATTTGTGGGGTCTATGGCCAGAGCCTATAAAGTGAGAACATTAGTTATAATATTTTGTGTCAATAAAACCCATTTCTAGCTATTAAGACTTGATTTAGATGTTTTATGTAAACAAATTCAATCAGGATTTAGGAAACTAAATTTTCTAGAAGTTCTGTTGTGTGGACCGTAATCCATAGTCAATTGGATTCAATCAATTTGAACTAATGGAAAATGAAGTCTAAAACACCTAGCAGTCTAAATCACTAACATCTACCATCTGTATACTAAAACTCCAATTTTCTGGATTCCCATTAGACAAACTTGGATATAACAGACTAAATGATAGATCCAGGTCCACTGTTTCTGAAACAGCATTTTACATCATTGGTGTAGTTACATTACTGGTTTAGTAGACTTCAGGGGCAACAGACAAAATCTGCATACTGTACACTAAGCCTTTGCGCAGATTTAAATTCTTATTTGCCACTTTGTCTATGTATAAAAAGCATAAAGTCCCATTCACATATTACACATGTGTAAACTTTCATTTGGATTTAATAAATATTCTGCTTAAGATACAATCTTTGCTAAATTGAAGGTTTAGTATATTTACCTAAGTATTCTATGCCTATTTAGCCATTCCTAAAATGCTGTTACTATACACCATATGCTGATCACTGGATACATAAATTCCTGAGAATATACACTGCAGCCTGATTATACACCACATGAATGGGATAGCACACAGAATGCATAGAGAAACTTCTATTGAATATTTACATACGGTTTTTTTTAACAAATAACATACTACAGGCAAACCTAAGAGTATAATCTCAATTTTTAAATATGTAGTGCAAACACTTGAATAAGATACTGGGGTGTGCAGCAATTTAGATTCAAAACTGACTGGAATTATGAATATGAAACACCTGCCAGGAGCTCCTCTAAAAAGCTATATATCTTCCTGGCCTTTGGCAGCAGCAGTCATATAATAGCAAGAAAAGATGGGATTGATTTAAAGAGGTGACTCATATATGGCATGGGCAGATACGGATGCTCTGAATTGAGCATGACATGTACACTTCTGTGTAATTTCAATAATCTGTTTTACTTTGATTTGCTATAAAATAGCCTTGATGCAAGATGAATAGTGCCTAAATTTGATAAATTATTTTAAAATATTTGTGGCTTCAAGGAAAGGTACAGAACTTACCTTATGGAAAAATATTTACCTTAGCACAGTTTTCAATTGCATCCTGCCATTCCAATAATTTCAGTTTACATGCAGCAGTATTAAGATAACATGTCAATGCTACTGAATTCAGCTTTGAACTTTCTTTCTCTGCCACAGCTTTTGAAGCTTCAAGGTATCTGTATAAAATAAGATGGGGATTTTACAGCATAGTAGTCCTCATTTAGCAACTACTTGGGATGTGACCATTCACAAATACAACAATAATAAATGGTAGTAAAAAAAAGTATATGCATTTTCTGATCAATACGTACACTTATTTCTAAATTTATGCACCTGACAATCACGACAGATTAAAACTGCATGAGTCAACTTTATCTAAATGAAACAGCAGCAATCTTTGCAGTGTCCTTCTCTCTCTCTCTCTCTCTCTCTCTCTCCCATTTTGTCAGGATATATTGTAGTAGCTAAAAATAGGCTGTATAATTTATCAACTAGCTATATTACATCAATAATTTGCAAATTAAAGTAGATTATAACTACTACAGATAGTCCTTAACTTACAACAGTTCCTTTAGTGACTGAAGTTAAAACGGTACTGAAAAAAGTGACTTATGACCACTTTTCACTTATGACCACTGTAGCTTCCCCATGGTCATGTGATCAAAAGTCAGACATTTGGCAACCTATTTATGTCATGTGATCATCTTTTGAAACCTTCTGACAAGGCAAAACCAATGGAGAAGCCAGATTCATTTAACAACCATGTTAATAACTGTGACAAGAAAAATGGGTAAAACTCACTTAACAAATATTTTGCTTAGCAACAGAAATTTTGAGCTCAATTTTGAAGACTACCTGTGTATGTTAAACAACATGCTTACACAACATCCTATGCTATTCAGCTAGTAAATATATGTAGCATTATTTTAGCCCACATCCTGTATTTCCCCAGTTGATAACTAAAGCATAGTTAACATATTATGGAATGGCATTTGAAATCAATAACTAGTTTTAAACATAAACTAGTATTAAATGGGGATGTTTGCTGCTCTAGATAAGACACTTTACCAGAGGAAAGTTATCAATTCTGATTAAGAGGCCATGCTACATGTGGATAAAACAGTGTTATGCATGTTCACATTAACCAATCACAGTTGGAGTTTGGGCAAAGATGACCTGATTAAGTCAAGTTTCACTAAATATTGAAGCAAATCCTTAAAATGATTTAAATAGGACCTAAATTCAAACAATTTAGTCTTGTTTAAACTAGTTATCTTTCCCCATTCCTCACCCCCATTTTATTGAATATAGTTCACATAAGTTACATAAATAAAACAAGACAACCTTGAAATAAACTGATTTTTAAAAAATCTAGTAATCAAATGTTGCAATGAGCAAAGCAAGTGCAGTAAAATTTTGCAAATAAATGAGGCTTGGATTTTTTTGGGGGGGAGGAATGTCCTTTGACTTTTTGTACTTCTTTTAAAACTTTCCAATAGCTTACACTCTCTTTTCACATTTTTGCAGAAAATAATACTGGTTTTTTGATGGTACTATTTCAGGGATTATATGGGCCATATGCTATCCACCAATATATTAAAAATGAGAAAAGGGCTACTTTGTCTATTCACAATTTCACTTTCTAATAAAAAATGTGTGTAAATGGCAAGTTACTTTAACCTAGAGCTATCAAATCTGGACTGCAAAAATCTGGATGATCACTAGATGGCACCAAACAGCTTACATTTTCTGTATCTCTCTGCCTACCAGTAGTCATCAGATGTTTGCAGTTCAAACCTGAAAGCCCTAGGTACAGTATATTTTTAAGGACAGCATATAATTTTACCTCAAAGACTTGTTATATTTCTTGACTGCCATTGCCCAATTTTGTGATTTGAAGAAAGAATTGCCTATATTTTTTACATCTTCAGCTATAGTCACAATCTTGTCAACCTACAAAAAAAGAAGCAAATGCACTGACCACAGCATATCATTTTATTTTGTTCCATAAAGAATTCTGGGAAAAAACAGCTTGGAAGCAGTTTCCCACACACCATTGGATATAATTGCATATAATGTTTAAGAGTTGCAATGCAGCAACATGTCAGAAGAATAAATAGAGTACTCCATCTAGCTTTAAAACTTTGGAAGCTGCAGAATGTCAAGATAGAAAACAAGACTAGGACAAATTTGTGTTACATGTTTTCTACTTTAAAAAGATGAATAATATAATTTAAAACAGACATGTCAAACACAAGGCCCGGGGGCTGGATGCGGCCCGCGAAGTGGTTTCATGTGGCCTGCGAAGCTATCCTGGAAACAATGAGGGAATGGCCCCCGCTGCCTTGGCCCTGGCCCAGGCCGGCAGGGAGCCAATGTACAATTTTGTGGTGGCCATCTATGCTGAAACGCATTCAGTCTTAGCTCCACAAGGCCGTCTAGAAACAGCGAGAAACCAGCCCCTGCCACGTCAGCCCAGCCCCCTGGGTGCATGCTGGGGAGGTGTCATCCGTTGTGAGGAATGAAGAAATGGACCATGCCTTGGCGCTTGCCCGGTCCCACCCCCTTCTGCCAGAGACCCTCAGTTCTGTCCCACTCCTGCCCAGGCCCACACTGACACCCCTGACGCGAACGATGTAGAGCTGGCCACGCCCACCCAGTAGGCCACACCCACTCCATCCATGCCCACCCAGTAGGCCGCACCCACCCTGGCCACACACCCCCAAGGACAACCGCAATGCTGATGCGGCCCTCAATGAAATTGAGTTTGACACCCCTGATTTAAAATGATCTTGTAACAAAGGTTCTTTAATATTAACATAGGAAATAAATGAAACACTTACTTCCTTTAAATCTATGTCAGAATCTTCAGGAAAGTCTGCATGAATATCTCCAAAACAATCCATGGGAGAGATTTCCCAGTTTTCTCCTTCTTTTAGATCTCCACATTCTGCAATGATGCACAACTATAAAATAAATATATAAAATGCAACTTTTTCAATAGCAACCTGTTTCAATTTTCAGAAAACACACCTGTCATTTTTTCCCAAATGTTTTCAAAGCCTCAAACTTAGTTTTTTCAACTTTATTTAAAAAGTAAAAATAATCATAACTGTCTTGAATGTAGCTACACTGCAAACTGACTGCTGTTTAGTCTAAGATAGGCATGGAAAAAGCTTAATTCTTGCTTTGCCAGTTATCTCAGCAACCCTAGCCAACATGTTCCAGTATGCTAGAGTTGAAATTAAGCAACATCTGGAGGGACCCAGCAAATATTCTAGTAGAAAAGATAATAACCATCAAAGCAAACAAATTTCATTATTGAAAAATTTGATTCATATTTTAAGAGGAATGAAAACATATTTGAATTATCTTAAAATTTTATAATATGAAAAATATACCCCGTGAATTTTAGCTTACCTTTATAGGTTTTTCTTCTTTTACTTCAACATTTTCTAGAAGTTTTGCAACACCCATGCCCTTGATCACTTGCCCAAAGACCACGTGTTTCCCATCAAGGTGAGGGGTGGGCACAGTTGTGATAAAGAACTGTGAACCATTTGTATTGCATCCTGCATTTGCCATGCTCAGCAAACCTGGTTTATCATGCTAAATAAAACAATAATGTTATTCTCATGAGAATAATTCATTGGTAAATTGAAAATCATACATAACTTACTAAACAGGCAATCTGCAATATCGTATATTTGGAATACATAACTAAGAAAAACTTTCACCCAGTCAAAAATTTGCATACCCATATATAAAATTTATACATAATATACTAATAAAGTTAAAAGTAGGATCATGAGATTTTAAGATGTGACATTTAAAAGACAAGTATCTCCAGCATTTAATATTTATGTAAGAATTTGAGATAAAATTTTTACTTGAAAGATTGAAATGCTCTCAACTTAATAAAGATAGCTGAAACTTGTTCTTTAGCAATAACTGTCCTACTTACACTATCAGATATATGTACACATAAATGCAATATAAACACTGTATGCTGTTGATAGAAATAAAAACACTTTATACACTGGATTTCTCACTGCAGAATAAGTGTTAGCACTCTTCATTCTCAGATTCATTCTCAGAAATTCCGTTATCCTACGTGAAAGGTGGCATTTCAGCAGATTGTGAAAGGAAAGATGCCTAAATCTGCTCCAAACCAAAAGCAGACATATATACTAGCCCATGGTGTAAATGAATATATTTAATTATTTTTTTATTTTCATAGAAATCTTCTTAAAACAGATTTGGAAAAAAGAACAAAAACTCCGGAAGGTATGTGGAGCTGTGCTTCTCCCTGATTTCTACCTCCTTTAAGAACTTTAAATATAGTGTTTGGTTTTCCTTCAAATCCAAAATTCATTAGCAGAACTGTGACTACTGGAAATTTTAATTATAACATCTATTACCTTATAATGAAAATTTTCATCTTCAAACTTTTCTCCATATATACTTTCTCCACCTGTTCCATTCTGATTTGAAAAATCTCCACCCTGGATCATAAATTCCTTGATAACTACAATTGAACCAAAGTGAAAAAGCTGAAACAGATCTCAATTATCTAAAATCAATTGCCTTTTTTCCATTACTGACTGTTTTTTAATTCTCTCTCTGTGTGCAAATCAGCATTTTAGCAAACTAAATTGATAAGAGGTATGAAAACGTTCTAAGAATGAAAAAAAAACTGATAGGAACAAAATACACTGCATTCCAAACAGCATTTTTAGTGTTCTGATCATAGGGAACAACTCCGAAATAAGCTATTCCAAGATCCAAACATTCATGCTCCAATAATTTTGTTTTGAGGGTGAATTATTATCAATTGTAGTAAGCACTTTTCTTTATGCAAAAACATGAAATTATATTTTTGTCTAATTTCCAAATTAGTTCCTCTCATATCTCCCTAAACATACTCGAGTGTTAAGGGACCCCCAAATCAACATATAATATGCTCTGCACCAGGAACACTGTTATTATATGCCATGCATTGGGCAACTTTAATTGCTTTTCAGTAGCTCAATGTTTTAATGGATACAAATAAGGAACTGTCATCTATTGTATTCTTAAAATCTTAAATCTTCTTTAAAAAGGTATGGCATTTTCTTTTAAACTAAAATTATAACAATACAAGACGCTAGAATCAATGTCACTATAGTGGCATTTTTGGCTGCTGTAGTTAGATATAGGAAGAAACTACAGTACTTGATGAAGGACTTCTTTCTCATGAAATGTAATGCTATTTTGTTTCTTTTTTATTATATTTATTCTTGGGTGCTTTGACTATAATACTTTTATTCATTCATACAAGAACAAGTACTTACTTCTGTGGAAAGGACATCCTTTATAATGAAGAGGCTTTCCAGTTGTAGGCCCAATACCTTTTTCTCCAGTGCACAATGCACGAAAATTTTCTGCAATTTTAGGTACAATATCTGCAAACAGTTCTAATACCATTCGACCAACTGGAACGAGAGAAATCTGTAGCTGTACTTATTTTAGCAATGTGTATCTCACCATTCTTTCAATAAATCTAGGATTCAATTCACTAAATTCTCCCAGTATTAATACAACTTTAAATGTATAAAAAGGTTCTTGAACTCTGATGTTTCACTTGCCAATCAAATATTTATTACTCCAAACCAAGCAATGCAGCTTTTCAGTATATCTGAGATTATACCTCAGCTTTACACATAATCTAAAATCCATTCAGTTGCCACTAGATTTCAGTAATAACCAAGATCTACTGTCTACTTTTAACTTCTATTACTGTTATGGATAAAAACCTGACCAGCATCAAATATTACAGATAGTCATCATAAGCATTTGTTTAGCAAATCTTCAAATTTACAACGGCACAGAAAAAAGTTACAACTGTTCCTTCCACTTATGATTGTCATAGCATCCCACGGGCACGTGATCAAAATTTGGGACCATGGGAAGCATTTATTTACAATGTTTACAATGTTCCGTGGTCATGTGAACACCATTGTCTCCTTTTCCAACCAGCTTCCGACAAGCAAAGTCAATGGGGGAAGCCAGATTCACTTAACAACTGCCACAGTGTACTTAACAACTGCAGTGATTTGTTAACTGTGTCAAAAAAGGATGATAAAATTGAGCACAACTCATTTAACAACTAGGCTGGAAACGGGAGATGGAGAGGTCGTTCCACCTCAGCGAGGACGAGGTGAGAGACCGGCCCACTCAAGTTGGTTCCTAGAGCAAGCCATTGACATGCTGAGAGTCGCCTTCGACTCCCCTCAAGGAAGAGAAAGCTGATCCGTGCTGGGGCACAGCAAATCCAGGCCTGGTAGAAGGGGAGGGTGGCACGAAAGTTGTAGCAGCAAACCCGGGCCCTTCCACCAGCACTTTGGAGGCAGTGACCACATCGGCCACCCCCGCACGAGCCGCGCCGGCTGACGGAGACGGGCATCGGCAGCGACGGATGAGAGGCCACCAATCCAAATGGAAATTTCCGCATCTGGGGGTAAAGTACAATGGGGAACCTCAACAATTGGGGTTCTTCCTAGCCCACATCCTGAGCTATATGGAAGAATATGGCCAAGACATCCCCAGCGACCACAGGCGGGTGAGAATCGTGACCATGGCCCTAGAGGGAGTGGCAGCCAAGTGGATGGTGACCCTACACAATGCCAATGCTCCGGAACTACGAAACTTCAACCATTTCATGGCTGCTCTGAGGAGGTGGTTCGAGAACCCCTTGGCCGATTGGAAAGCCAGAGAACGCATAAAGACGGTGAGACAGGGTCATCGCCCTGTGGCAAATACACAGAGGAATTCTGAGCCCTAGCCAGCCGGCTCAACTGGCCGAAAGAAGTTCTCGTGGGCCATTTTAAAGATGGACTAAATGACAATCTATACCAGTGATGGCGAACCTTTTAGAGATCGAGTGCCCAAAACCCGCCTCCACCCGCCCACAGGGCCTCCCAGATCGCCCAGGCAGCCCAGCAGTGCCATGGCGGCCACGCCCTCTGCCCGTGCCCCACAGCATCATCTGCACATGACAGGGCACGAGGGCGGAGTCTTGTCCCCCCTGCCCGGCTGCCATGTCCTTGGCTGCACTGCTCTGTGCAGGCCGCGCTCGGGGGCAACTCTCCTCTGGGGCGACTGCTGGGGAGGAGGGGCTGGGGTGATGGCACGCATGCCCACCGAGAGGGCTCTGAGTGCCACCTCTGACACGCGTGCCATAGGTTCGCCATCACTGATTATACTATGCCTGCGTTCCCCAGGGAGATCCTGATCGACTTCACAACTGGTACATCTTGGCCGAAGAGGCTGAAATCGAGCGAGCCCAGAGACAGCGACGCCTAGGAAGGTCCTGGGAACGATCCCCTGCAGAGGGTACTCGGGAACTGGCGAAACAGACCCCTGCCATGGCGAGATCATCAGGCTGTTTCAAGTGCGAGAAAGAGAGACATCACGCAGCTGAGTGCCACTCAAAGACCCCAATGCAGAAGCCTGACTGAGCAGGGGGAGGAAAGCCCGGGAAAACACCGCAGAAATTGGAGACAGCCATGAAAAGCATGGAGGTTGTTGAGGTCCAGACCCCATCAAAAAAGGGGGGAGAAACTCCAACCCCATCCAGGAAGCCATCAGCCTCCTCTGACAGTTCAGAAGACGAACCCTGGATAAGTCACGCCCCTCTCCAGAACCCTAGAACTTGTTTAGCCCGGGGATGCCGGAAAAGGTCTCATTAAGAGCCCTGATATACTCAGGCTGCACCCGCTGCCTCATAAGCCCAACTCTGGTGCAGAATTTAGGAATCCCAGTGAGGAAGTTGAAGAAGCCGATTTTGTTTGGCCAATTAGATGGGTCCATCGCAGGGGAACGCGAAGCCCAACCAACCTTTGAAATGGACTATGGAATGCCAAGCCACTTTTGAGAAATTGAAAAGACTATTCTCAGCAGAACCAGTCTTAAAACACCCAGACATCGAAAAACCTTAAAACCTTTTGTCATCCAGGCAGATGCCAATGATGTGGCGGTCGGGGCGGTACTGCTTCAGGAAAACGACGAAGGGAAGTTGCAACTCTGTGAGTATATACATCAAGGAAACTCACAGAAACTGAGCAAAGATGGGCAGTCTGGGAAAAGGAAGCTTATGCAGTTTGGTGGGCAGTTTTATGATCAGTTCCAAGTATGGACTGATCATAAGAATTTAGAGTAGGGGTGTCAAACTCAATTTCATTGAGGACCGCATCAGCATTGCGGTTGCCCTCGGGGGCCGGGTGGGTGTGGCAATGGTGGGTGTGGCCTACTGGGTGGGTGTGGATGGAGGGGGTGTGGCCTATTGGGTGGGCATGGCCAGCTCTACATCGTTCGCGTCAAGGGTGCCTGTGGGTGCCTGTGCAGGAGTGGGACAGATCTGAGAGTCTCTGGCAGTAGGGGGTGGGACCGGTGCAAGTGCCAAGGCATGGTCCACTGGAGGAGCCTCACTGCCTGCTGAAACCCCTCCCCCAGAGCCCATCAAGCCGGATATATGAAGTAGGTGAGGGCCATTTGCTGGCCACTTCCAGGCGATGGTGCATTTCTTCATTCCTCACAAAGGGTGACACCTCCCCAGCATGCATCCAAGTCGCAATAGGACAAAGCTTCAACCCGATGCCTAAATTACCAACTAACAAACCCACCATTCCCTCCCTGAAGAAATGGATCACAAAACTCCAAAACACCTGGTCGGTTGTGAGAAAAGCTTTAGATGAAGCTAGGGAAGCATACAAAATCCAAGCAGATAAAAAACGAACAGAGCCCAAGCCCTTCCAAGTAGGTGAGAAAGTATACCTGTCCATTAAATACCTAAAGTCCTTACAACCGTCAAAAAAACTAGGGACAAAATTTCTGGGGCTTTTCCCCATAAAACGGATAATAAATCCGATGACGGTAGAATTGGAACTCCCCAAAACGTTTAGACAGGTTCACCCAGTATTTCACTGCAGCCTATTAAAATGAGAATTAACCTCCCCTTAAGGCCAGCTGCAGCCCCTCCTCCTCCAATCATGGTAGAAGGAGAGCAACATTTAGAAGTCAAGGAAACCCTAGACTCCAGGAAACATCACAGCTCCACATAGTATCTAGTAGCATGGAAAAACTTCCCTTCCTCCCAAAATGAATGGGTCCATAAACAACATGTCAGAGCCCCGAGATTAGTTAGTAAATTCCATGCTAAATACCCTGACAAACCAGACTAACCCGTATGTCATTTTCTCCCTTTCTTGTTTCCTCTGTAGGTGGATCTCTCATTTTTAAGGGGGGCAGCATGTCAGAACCCTATTATTTGGGGAGGGGGTGATTTCTTTACTCTTTATTCCTGCAGGTTCTGCCATACTCCTGGGGGGAGGGGGAGGCCATGGGCGCTACGATGTATCTTCTTTGCTTAACTCTAGCCGCTGCAATGTATCCTCTCCACTTCCCTCTATCTGCCTGCTCTTTGAACTATTTCCCTTGATGCCAGCCCAGGGTGAGAATGGAATGCACCTTCGGCCATCTGGCTTATCTCTAGCTGCGGAAAAAGAGGCGTGAAGACATAATGGCCTAACAACCTTGGGAATGGCATCTTATCGTCCCTGTTCCCACAGCGTATTCACACCTGAAGATTGGCTTGTATGAACTGGCTGGACTATTGGGGTGGGGGTTTGCTAGTTGCTCCTTTAACCTATTGCTTCGTGTGGGAAACTCTCAGATCCTGCTTTCTATGCCTGCTGTCAATTTCTCCTAATAAAAGTTCCTTTTGGAATGAAGCTGTTCCAAGAGATCTGCTTTCTTAGGAGGGGGGATTGAGGTGGGTCCTTACACACAAGTTAAAATAGGAAAGAAAATGGTAAGTGAGCACTTGTCCACCCTAGATGAGTTCAAATCCCCAGGACCAGATGGATTACACCCCAAGGTTCTGAAGGAACTGGCAGACGTGATCTCAGAACCACTGAACTATATCTTTCAAAGATCCTGGAGCAGCAGGGAACTACCAGAGGACTGGAAAAGAGCTGACAGATCCAGGAAACTACACACCTATCAGCTTGACCTCAATTATCTGGGAAGCTTCTAGAAAAGACAATCAACTAACAAATCAATGAACACCTAGAGCACAGGTGTCAAACTCGCTGCGTCATGTGATGTGTCCCGACTTTTTTTGCATTGCCGGAGCTGGAGTGGGTGCGGCCTCCGCATGATGCAACCAGCCCACGGGCCAGCAGTTTGACACCCCTGACCTAGAGGCAAAGTCAACCAAAAGCCAACATAATAACAATCCTTTGTGAACCAATCTGTTTTTTTTCTGTGATATGACATCATACCAGAATATCAGAGACATAAGGCCATACTTAATAACATTAAAACATGTCTCACTGTGGCATAGTATTCTCATTTTTAAACCTAATGTCAACATTATTCCAGAGATTGTTTTAGATTTAAAAGCAGCTTAAGAAAGTAAATCCACTTTTAAAAACTGACTTTTTCAACAGATGTTGTTGCTTTCCTTATATATCAAATAATTGGAAGTGTATATCATTAATTACATTTTTTTAAAAAAATCCAATGAAACACGTTTGCTCTATATCAGTGATGGCGAACCTTTTAGAGACCAAGTGCCCAAACTGCAACCCAAAACTCACACATGTATCGTCGAATGCCGGGTGGGCGTGGCCCATTGGGTGGGCGTGGCTGCGGCGGTAACGGCAGACTGGGTGGGACTAAAACGTTCAATCAATCAATTCCAACTTTGCAAGATCTTTTCTTTCCCGCGAGAAGTTGAAATTGATTGATTGATTGAACCTTTCTCTTTTTTTTTGCACACGGCAGTGGAGGCCTAAAGCGAAAAGGTTTTATAAAACCGAGCTGAAGGCCTAGGACTGGGGCGATGGCACACGTGCCCACAGAGAGGGCTCTGCGTGCCATAGGTTCGCCACCATGGCTCTATATTAATTCATGTAGAAACAGAAAAAACAAAGCTAAAAGTGCAGACAAAAAAAGAAAAAAATACAAGAAATACAACTTTCCTTCAAAACAAATCTAAGCATAAATTCACATGAAACTTTTACTGTGAGTTTACAACACAAATTTCATTTTTAAATCTTTTCATGAGTGTACATACAAACATCTCATTGCTGTCATCATAAATAAAAAATACAAATTTTCATGAATTTTTCCCAACTGTTCATCAGTCTTGTAAGAAATATCTCTGGTTTCAATTATATATTAGTCTTTAAGATCTTTTCAATTAAAAAAGGGGGAAAAATGGATCCAAGAAACTACAGACCTATCAGCCTGACCTCAATACCTGGGAAGATCTTGGAAAAGATAATCAAACAACTAATCAGTGAACATCTAAAGGCAAACAAAGTCATTTCCAAAAGCCAACATGGGTTGTCAAAAACAGATCATGCCAGACAAATCTTACTGCATTCTTTGACCAGGTGACAAAATTAGTGGATCAGAGGAATGCTGTGGATATAATTTACTTGGACTTTAATAAGGCATTTGATAAAGTAGACCACAACCTACTAGATAAGGATAGAAAAATGTGGGTTAGACAGCATCACCACCAGATGGATTTGTAACTTACATATGAGCCAGCAGTGTGCTGCAGCTGTCAAAAAAGCCCTCTGCATTAACAGAGGGATAGAATCAAGATCACGTGAAGTGTTAATATCAATTTATAATGGCTTGGTAAGGCCACATTTTGATCACCACGATGTAAAAAAGATGTTGAGACTCTAAAAAGAGTGCAGAAAATAACAACAAAGTTTATCAGGGGAATGGAGGCTACAACATAGATAGAATGGTTGTGTCAGAATCCAATTATATTTCATTCCTATCTACCTACTCTGATATAAAACCAATTCTTACTCTCTTCTGGATTATGTCATACTACGGAAGGGAAGGAGGGTAAGCATGGGGGTTTTATGATTCTCACTTCCTTCATTAACTACAAAGTGATCGGTTGTTTATTCTCTTCGAAGACTAACCATAACAATGCGGCCATCATCTTTCATCCTACTCCCTCTGAAGTTCTCCCCTTTGCTGGCAGTGAGGGAAAAGGGGAGGGAATGCAATGCCTGGAATCTGGAAAAAGAGAAAATGAGTGATCGTGCTGACGGAGCGGACTGACGGATTGAATCGCCCGGAAGAACTGTGGGGTGGGGGCTGCTTGGAAACACTTTAAAACATTGAATGATGGGAGAGGATTCCCCAGATCCTGTCTAGCATGCCTGCAATCAGTTTCTCTTAATAAAGATTCCTGTTGGAAGAGACATTCCAAGAGTTCTGTCTTCTTAAGATGAAAAATTGAGGTGGGTCCTTACAGGTTGCTGGAATTGGGTATGTCTAGTTTAATGAAAAGAAGGACTAGGGCAGTGATGGCGAACCTTTTAGAGATCGAGTGCCCAAACTGCAACCCAAAACCCACTTATGCATCATCGGGTGCCGGGTGGGCGTGGCCCATTGGGTGGACGTGGCCCATTGGGTGGGCGTGGCTGCAGTGGTAACAGCAGACTGGGTGGGATTAAAAAGTTCAATCAATTCCAACTTTGCAAGAACTTTTTTTTCCCACGAGAAGTTGAAATTGACTGGTTGAACCTTTTTTTTTTTGTAAATGGCGGCGGAGGTCTAAAGCGAAAAGGTTTTATAAAATCCAGCTGAAGGCCTAGGACTGGGGCGACGGTGCACGTGCCCACAGAGAGGGCTCTGAGTGCCGCCTCTGGCACCCATGCCATAGGTTTGCCACCACTGGACTAGGGGTAACATGATAGCAGTGTTCCAATATCTCAGGGGTTGCCACAAAGAAAGAGTCAAGCTATTCTCCAAAGCACTTGAGGGCAGGACAAGAAATAATGGATGGAAACAAATCAAAGAGAGAAGCAACCTAGAACTAAGGAGAAATTTCCTGACAGTTAGAACAATCAGTGCAACAACTTGCCTCCAGAAGTGGTGAATGCTCCAACATGGAAGTTTTAAAAAAGAGATTGGACAACCATTTGTCTGAAATGGTATAGGGTTTCCTACCTGAGCAGAGGGTTGGACTAGAAGATCTCCAAGGTCCCTTACAACTGTTATTCTATTCTATATACTGGATGCAATTAGTATATTCCATATTATGAAATTTTATTGTGGTACCCGTCAATGTTATAATACACTTTTAATGATAGAAATTTCAAATATTATTTCAAAATTCTTTTTTAACATAAGATAAGAATTATGGATTTCTACAGAAAGCAGTAAAATAATTAAAATTGTTTATGTTATTCCTAGTTGTCTTCTAAGGTTTGGCTTAACAAAAGAAACAAAGGTAGCATGGTGAAGGAGCTTATATTTTATGATAGTTGTCATATTTCAATATGAATTTGCTCAAGAACCAGAATCATTGGGACTGATATAAGTTATTAAACTAAGAGACAATGCTAACCCAGAATATAAATCTACAGTATCTGATTTCAGTAGGATTTACTGCCAAGTACACACTTGAGATTGATCTGTAAGTGATTTACTGATTGAATGGAAGATATATTTTACAATAGTTCTGCGGGGCATTAACCTTCAGGCCCCAACCCATAAAATCACAGCACATTCCTTTTCTTAAGGCTACCAAAATCAGTTTATACGTCGAGAACCGAGTGTGAAAGCTTTATCTGACCACAACACTTCAGATTGCAGAGGTGAGAACGGAGTACCACCATGTTGTGGTAATAAACCTATTTTTCCCTAGTTATGTGCGTAAGGGGCTTTTACAATGGGAGAAGGGGAAAACCCTCCGTAACCTTAGGTGAGCCCCCCATCCGAAGCGTTGACCGCTGTGATACTACCGCAAGGAACACAGAGGCCTTCAGCGTTGAGTTCGAGAGACTTCTGCAGGGCGCGTGTCGCGGCAACGTAGCGCGCGGGGTGGAGGAAACATTACAAAAGAAAATACGAAGGCGCGGAAGCGATCCAACTGATTGTCCAGTGCAGAACACTGGAAAGCAGCGCGCTCACACAAACACACACACCCTCGCTCCCCCCCCCCCCGGGCCTCTGCTCGGCGCCCGTCCCGTGGAAAAGGTCTTCATCGTTTACCGCTATTTGCTCAGGTTCTGCCCAGAGGCGCCGCGCCTCGCCCGAAGACTGGGGCGCAGGCATTCTTTCTGCACGAAGGTCTGATGCGGCGCGGCCATCCCGCTGCCAGCCCCACCTTCCAACCTCCGAACGCGCGTGGCCACCCCGCCTCCTCTCCTGCCACCCGCACCTCGTTCACCCCCAACGTCCACATCGAAAAAGACTCGGGGGTTGTTCGGATTGGACGGTTTCGAGAGCGGAGAAGCGTGAGACATGTTGGTGCCGGCTACCGCTGAACCAAAACGCCACCCCCACTTTTCCTGCTGCTTCCCAGTCTCTGCCGCTCGGCCTTCAGCTGCGGGCTTCAGTCAGCTGGCTCCGCCTTCCTGCCTGGAGAGAGGCGGGACGCACCACGGCCCTTTGCCCGCTCTTTTAGTTCAAAAAGGCAAGAATCGCTCTGTTGCCAGGAGGTGCTTTCGGTTACTAGCTCTTCAGTGGCGTGGCTTTGTTTCCGAGTATATATAGCAAACATTGCAGCTTCGGTTAGTAACTGATTATGAGTCAAATACATCGTGGCTTTCTTGCATCTGTGTTCCCTCACCAAAGCTTTTGAGAATGGGGAAAAAAATAACTAAGATGTTCTCAAAGCCCGCCCCCCTTCCCGGCTTCAGTCTCTTTGGCTGGTTTTGGATTGCGTGTTGGATGAACACAGGAAATTGGGTAATTTCATTTAACCTAGCACTATAAGCTTATCTGAAGCATCCATTACCAACCCAAAGGCTTCATTTGCACACAAAAAAAAAACAAAAAAAAAACATGACAGGATTGACTATTTTCCCTTCAAAATCTAGCCAGAAAGATAAAAGGAAAGTGATGCGCGTTGGGGGGGGGGAATCAGATCTCATAGACATTGATGGAGGATGAGCTGCGGGGTAACCAGTCTGGAAAAACATTTTGAGGTCATAGGTAATAAGTCAGAGAAGATGTACTTGGTGTACTGAACCTAAGAAAAAGGCAAATTGGATGGTAGGGATCATTTGGGAAGTGTTTGAAAATAAAAGTGCTAACACTAATTATACAAATTTATGATACAAATGCATCAAGAATACTGCATAGCATAGGTCCCCAACCTTTTGGACACCAGGGACTGGTTCTGTGGAGAGAGGCTTTTCTGCAGACCAGAGGGTGCGTGATTTTGTGTGCTGCCTGCATCTCACGGATGGGGCTTTACTTGTTTGTGCAGCCCTGTTGCTGGTGATGAGAAACCCCCTTCACCCCAATAAAAGGATACAACTTAAACAAACAAAAATACATTAGCCAATACAGGAAACACGCCTCCCCCCCCGCTCAGTACTGGTCCACGGACCGAAGGTTGGGGACTCCTGCTGTATAGAGCCCTGATTGGCATAAAGTTTTTTAGAAAACATGTATTAGAACTAAAGTGTGAAAAGTGCAGAAGACAGCAATCAAAATGATTGGGGCAGTTTGACTACTTTCTACTTTCTATAATAAAGAATTCTATAAAATTCTGTAAGATCTACTACTTTCTATAATATGTAAGACTTTTGACTTGGAAAACTGCAAACGAGGGAGATTAGACTGAAATGTATACAATTATTAATCACATAGAGTATCAAAGGTGGATTTTTTTTTACCTCTGTCAAACATTAGGGTCTGGAGCTTAAATATAGGTTAATAGGAAGGAGTGGGAGTTGAAAAGTTTTAAAAGCTTGAGAAATATAATTTACTATTTAGCATTAGCAAAGCTTAGAATCCCAGTGACAAACACAGGATGGGCGTTGTGCGTTCGGAAAGATTGCAAGATTGAAATGCCGAGCTCTGAAATCGCAGCCAATGGCCGAAGATGGGGGGCGCTGTATGTGCGGTACGCGTGAGACTGAACAAACACTTTCAGCTTTTTTCCCCAGTCATATGACTGATAGGCTCCATTAATGCCAGTCTAGGAAAAGAGGGAGGCGGCTGCGCTGCTCCGAGAGAGAATGAATTAAGCTCGGCTTAGCGGAAGTCTGGATGTCCAGCTTGAAGCTGGCATGGGGGCTACTACTGACGCTTCAGAGATAGAAACTCTTGATCGTGGCCGGTTGAGTGACTTGTCGCTGGTGTGTCCTGATTCCATTCCCATACTCCGCTCAGCTCAGGAGGAAGCGCAGTAGCATGGCTCCGACGCTGCTCCAGAAGCTGTTTAACAAAAGGGGCGGTGGCCGGCTTAGTAGTGGCGACTCAACCTTTTCCCCTTTTAGACTGTCCAAGGAATGCTCAACCTTCAGGTGAGGAAATGCAGTTGTTATCTTGAGTCTTCCTTGGTGCGTTGGTCATTCTGATAGAACATCCACTGCCCAAAACGTGAGACCCAGGAGCGCGTAGAGATTACGTTTTCTCATTTCTAGTTCTTTTTATTCTCTGTAGACCATGTTCTTCAGAGTCTTACTTTTATTATTAAAAGTGCAATTTGTGTTTTGATAAATTAGTCTAAATCCTAACCCCAAAAAGAGAAAGATATCTTGCATACTGTAATTTCCTGATGGTCGTTTTGGTTTAAGGGAGTAGAGTACTAAACCAAGAAAAATTTGGTTGGTTTAGGATTTTTTCTTTGTAATGACTCCTAAATGGTTAAAACATGTTGCACATGTTCAGTAACTGTAGTATATGGTCTCATGGATAATTTGGGGAGTTAGAATTTTCTCTTTGGAATGACCACTGTTAGGGCATCACTTGTCCTTTAAAGTACTTAAACTGTCATAATACATAGAGAAGTCTTAATTCAATAAGATTGCTTAATAGATATACATACGATTGTGCTTTTTATTGAGTTTGTTCTACAGTGAACTTCAGAAAATATATCTAATATAATTTTTTCCAATCTGGAACACTCCTCTCAAAATATGGATAATCACTTGATCATTCCCAGTGAACCTCAACAATAGATATTCTGTCTGGGGATGATGGGAGCTCAGTACATCTGGAAGACAACAGGATGAGGATGGCTGGCCTGATTCAAAGCAGTGTGATGTGATGAACAAACATGAGACTTTATCCTACTTCCCAGCTTTCCTCATCCTTGAAATGAAAAAGCAAAGGAGAGGGACAGCAGAGAAAGAACATGTGATTCTCTCTGGACTCCTTGAAATATGGGATAAGGTTATAATTTTCTTGTGGTAGTACTGCTACATGATTACTGTGTTTTACAACCATTCCTTTATACCTTTATAAATATACGTCCCACTGTGGTTACTAGACTGTTCTCCTATGCAATTATGCTTAAAGTTGTAGCTTCAATGAATAGTGAGAAATGCAGGCTTATATAAAGTTATTTTTGAAAAAATGATAAAATGTACTTCCTGATTCATTTCTTATAAATATATGTGCATGTTTTATTTTGTGATATTTTTAAAATTTTAAATTTTCTGGCTCTGTCATCTGTTTTTATCTTCTACTATATGTTCCTTGAATGTAAAAGTAAGATGCTTTTGAATGCATTGAGTCTTAATTCTGTTTACTATTGGTATATTTGAACAATCTAGAAACATTCAAGAATATCTGAATTAGGCAGGCTGGCAATTACCGTACTATTGTATTTTATATGTAATTATATTACATCCATAATAGCACCCTATTTTTATTCTCTTAGAGACATGGACATCTAAATGCAGTTGTACTGTGAAAGTCTTTATTGGTCTTAGGTCCAATAAATGAAAATAGGGATGGGTGTGGGATAAAAATGGCCTGTGAGAGTGATGGATAACACTAGATAATAGTAAGAAGTCTGTAATTTTATATCACACTTGTGGAATGCTATACTTACTGGAACTAACATGCTAAAGATAGACAAATAATTGATTTTTTCCTTCTGTATAAATATGCATACACAAACTCATGAAACAAATGGAATATCAAATATAAAAAAGAAACAGCATAATTCAGTTTTTGTCTTCTAGCCTATAATAAAGATATGTGGCATAAGTCTATATTCTCCTTATATGCGCTCATACAAGAACTATGTAGTATTGGATTTAAGGGCAAAGCAGTAAACAAGGGGTGCATAAACCAGAAGTAGGAAGAAAATAGATGAGTGGGGCTATGTGATGTTCCCAATAGTCTAACATAGCAGAAACAAAGGAACTTTTTTTCCTACTTAACTAGATTGCTGTGAAAAAAGCATGGGACGATCAGATGAGTATTTCTGTTTAAAAGGACTGGATTCTTATATTGAACACAAGTTCGAAAGTAAGTAGTCAGTTCCCTAATTAGAGTTGTACTGGATGCACTAATAAAAAGAACGCATTTTAGATGCTGGAAGTTAGCCTGTCTATTAGAAATTATATAGTCCAAATAGTCTAACATTAAAGTATAATGCCGTCCATGTACTGTATGTTCATTGAATAACATATGGAATCCATACTGGAGTTGCCATCACTTTTCACACAATAGCTTTTGGAGGCTGAAGTTTTGTGTGGTATAGCTTTGTGCATTTTAGGAATAGGAGAATGAACTACTCAATCTTTATTGTAACTTCTGTTATAAAGGTATTTCTGTTTTTAGAATATAAACAGTTTCTAAAATGTATAATAAGTTTAAACAGTTAAGTTGACTATTGTTTTCATATTGTAGCTCAATTCATGTCACGATAAACTACCATTTTGAATGAGCAAACAAGAATGTTGTTGCAAATTCAGCAGCCTTGTTCTGGCAGGGGTCAAACTGCCGGCCCACGGGCCGGACGCGTCACAACGAAACCGGGCCCATCCCATTGCTGGCAATGAGGAAAAAGCTCTGATACGTCGCGCGACGTCATGTGACGTTGCGAGTTTGACATGTCTGCAGGGTCTTCTTGCAAGTTGAAATGGATGAACAATTGAGAAAGCTGGCTTTCATGGTTTGTTTGTAATGTGCAAGCCAAGATATTAAATTTGGGTCTTAGCTGAGGTGAGCTAAGAACAAATTCTAATGTTTGATCTTTGTTAAAAAGAATACAAGCCAGGGCTCCTGATTCGGAGATAATGACAAGAATTGCATAGTTTATTCAGTTGCTTTCATTGGCAGAAGCAGTCAGGTAGGCATAACTGACATGCTTGCTTGTTCATAAAGAACTAGAATTCTGGTCATACATGCAAATCAAACTTATCATTTTTGTTAACCTATGCTTTTCAGATATTTGTCTCTGTTGTTTCCCTTTCCTTTGTATTTGCTAAATAAATGGTTCAGAATTTGGCTATTCATTTCCTTTGTGAAAAAAAGTAGTCAAGGCCAGAGTGATGACATCACATGTGTAGACAGCACACTTTCACATGACATCCTATTCCATTCTTTGTGATTGTCTTGTGATCCGTTTGCCAGAATCTGTCA